AACCTCCTGTTCCAAGAAAGAGGCTCAAGCTGTAATCTTTTCCAACGAAAAAGATGCTTGCTGAGAGCCCCTTCAGACATATATTCATAAACAAGAAGTCTCTCATTTCCTGCAATTGAATATCCCAACAGTGACACCAAATGGCGGTGTCGTACCTTTGAAAGAACTGCAATTTCAGATTGGAACTCATCCAATCCTTTACTGCTAATTACACTTGCCTCCATTCTTTTCACTGCTATTTTTGTTCCATCATCCAATTCTCCCCTATAAACTACTCCGAACCCACCACGACCGAGCTCATTCTCTGAAGAGAAATTATTCGTCACGTTTCGTAGAACTTGTACAGATATGACAAGATTTCCAGATTCAATGCCATGAGAATCTCCAAGTCCATTTTTACCGCTTCCCGATGCGGTAGAAGTACTATTATTGTTGTTATTTGCAACAACAATCTTAACCAAATTGCTGGGATCAGATGGATCTCCTGGATGAGCGACCAGAGAATTTTGAGCCTGATCTTTGCTTCTCCTCTTCTTAATCAAGTATATACACAGAGGAATAGCCACAAAAGCAACAGCTACCAGACTCACAATAGGAACTACAGTAGAAACTATAATTGATGCCTTGGGACGTTTAGATGTTTGTCCCATCCCATTTCCCGAATCAGAAACCGGTTCTGCCGTTGGAGAAGAGTGGCTGTCGGAAGGTGATAGGTCTCCAGGAGAGTGGCTGTTGGGAGCTGATACGTCTCCAATTCCAGATGGTGGGGAAGACGGGGAGGACAAGGAAGACGGGGCTTGCTTAACATTTAACAAAGGGTTCCCACTTGTAACAAGTTTCACAGAGCTTCTGAATTGAGGCAAAGGAGGGGATATGTTATTGTCACTCACATCCAACAAAGTAAGAGACTTCAAAGTAGTCAATTTCGAGGGAATCGGACCGCTCAAATTGTTATTCTGAAGTCGAATCTCGGCAAGCGACATTAAGTTAGCTAGTGAAGAACTCAAGGTCCCATTAAGACCCAACTTAGGTAAATTAATGATATACACATTCCCAGATCTGCAGTTCACTCCCAGCCATGGCCCTGCACATGGATCATTCCCAGTCCAAGCAGTGACAAGCCTTGAAGGGTATCCCATTGCGCCGAGAAACTCGATCAGGGTCATGACTTGAGGGGCACAAGCAACCCCTTGCTCCGCTCGACAGAATTGGTTCGAAGAAAAAGTCACTTTTGATGCTTTAAACTTCGGGACTGGACCCATGAAATTGTTATTGTTCAAATCCAAATGGCTTAAACTCATATCAGCCAAGCTCTTTGGAATCATCCCAACAAATTCATTACCATTCAGATTCAGATCCTGCAGAAGAATCAAATCCCCAATATTTTCAGGAATAGTCCCGGAGAATTGATTCCCATGGAGCCACAAAGTACTCAACGAAGTCATCGTGGTCACCACATTAATAGAACCAGACATTCCACCTCCAACTTGATTATTAAGCCAAAACCTCGATAATAACATACCCTTAAAACTCGCCGGAATCCTACCGGAGAGTCTATTGTTAGAGAGCGCCAACACAGATAAAGAAGACATAGACCCAAGAAAGTCCGGTAAGGGACCAACCAAATTACAACTCATACAAGTAAGATTCGTCAACTGAGCTGAATTGCTCAACGTCGATGGAATCATCCACCCAGAACTACCGTTGAAATAATTCCCATCAAGAGCAAGAACTTCTAAACTATCCAGGCCTGTAAAAAAATCAGCCGGAATGGAAGTGAAATTGTTGTAATCAAGATACGCGTACCGTAGATTCTTCAGGCCATTGAACGACGGCAAGGGACCGGAAAATTGATTCTTCTGAAGACCGATGTTGGAGAGCATAGAGAGGCGATTGAAACTCTGCGGCAAAGGGCCTTTCAGCCCCATCCCTTGGACCTGAATTTGCGAAACCCTCGTATCTTTGCAGAAAACAGAGGGCCATTTATTGCCGCATGGATCGTTATCATTGCGTGGCCATTTCAAGAGCTCTGGATTTTGCAACCCTTTCCTGAACTCATTGATAACAGCAAGATCATCGGGGTCGGTAGCGCCAAAACCCACAGAAAACAGAGCAAGAAGGAGTGCCAGAACGAGCTCTGTTTTAAAATCTTCCATGGCAGATCTGCAGAAATGCTTGCAGAGAAGAACCTTCACAACCCCATTAATGGCGCGTTTCTCACAATACCCACATGAAATCCGGCAGCAGAGAGAAGAGAACCATGGGATTTGGATCATTAAAACACACCCAACTCGAAGAACTAAGTGAAAAGCAAAAAGAACAATGAATCAAGAGTTCGAAAATCGAAAAGCTAAATTACTCTGTCTTCAAAACGGAATAACGGGGAAGGAATCAAGCAATGGCGGAAGTTGAGAGCGAGAAAGGTGGATCCGTAACGACAAAACTTACAGGACAAGATCGGAAACTGAAAGAGAACAAAAAACAGAGAGAAAATGTTGGCGAGTGCGTAGCTTGTGAGAGAATTTATGCTTTGGTTAATGGTTTCTGGAAGTTCGGAACGCCACGCGCCTTCTTCTTCTTTCTTCCGTTGTGTAGGAAGAAAAGGGTATTATTGTCTTTTTCACTTTTGGCGGTAACCCGGCGCCATCAAAGCCGAAGGAATATAACGGAGCTAACCGGAACTTCTCGACGGAAACTTAAATAAAACGTGTCTGTTTAAAATAGCATGAAACTCGAATTATATGATCCTAAATAGTAGTTTTTGTTTTTTGTTTTTCTATTTTTAATTTCAATTCTTTTAGCTATTCAATAATAATAATAATTACAATAATTATTATGATTACTTCCAAATTTATTGTTTTACACTCATATATTTTAAAGTTATTTATTATATATATATTTTGTTAAAAGAAATTGTTTTTCTTTTCTACCTAAATTATTTGAAGTTGAATATTGGAATGTGAGTGGATTACTTCAATTTAATGCATTTTCCCCTTAACATTGTGGCTTGATTAATCGTTTAATTTATGTAATAATCACTTTCTTTATTAAACACATGAAATAAATAATAATAATAAAAGAAAAGGGATTGAATGAAAAAATACAAAAAGAAAATAAATAATAATGCCGGGACTGAAGACGTGACTACGACTTGGGAGAAAATCACGGGAACTCCCGGTTGAATTTAACCCATGTCCCCGTCACTCCGCCGGTTGCCGGTTTTTTCTTACGTTTTTACCCAATTTCTTTATTTATTTATCTCTTTTTTTTATTATTATTATTAATTACATCATTTTGTAAGGACTTCTTCCATTCTTCCCAACGTGGCCACATGGGCCTTCTATTTCCTTATAAAATTATAATATATTTATTATTGTTATTTTGACAAATCTGACACAAACAATTAAAAGTATTTTGAATAATATCATTATGGGAGTAGACCATCTCAATAGTCAACTCCAAATATATATTAATTATTATTTTAGTCTTAAATTGGTTGTTTTTATTTTATTTATTTATTGGATTTGTAACTTACCTAACCTAAAATTGATGATTTAAAATTTTAAAATTTTAAATTTTAAGGGTTAGAGTCTAAGGTTTATCGTTTAGGATAATATGACCATATCACAGGAAATATAAGAGAGTATTGAAGAAGCAAAAGAGAATAAGGGCCGCGGTGGTGCGTATCAGGCTTTTACATGACACGCTGAACACAGACAAAAGTGGGGTCCAAATCTTAAGGTTAGCCTTTTGTCTGTATTGTGGAGCCAAGTGAATCCACCCTGGATCCTTGTGTCCACACTTTTTTTTTTTTTTTTCCAAATATTTAATATATGGTTTGAGACTAAATTAATATTTACAGATTTCTCGTATATACCAAATGATATGTAGCATGGACTATAGTATAACATTCTTGGTTTGTAATTCGAATAAGAATTTGAATCTAAATTCGACACTTAATGGTTCCATTATTTTCTTGCATCTCTTGTAACATAGCTACTTTATCTACATGTTTTAAAGTGCTTCTAAGAGTGAAACTATCTTTATATATCACCGTACACCCTTTTAGCATCGCTTTGTATTCACTTGGAGTATTTATAACTAAGTTATCAAATAAAAGTGTACTTTGTTGGTATAAATAATAACTATGGATTCTTTAAAACGTTCTTAACCATCTTGTTCTTAGGATGTCTTTTATATGCAAGAAGTTTTGGCTCATTTATGTTCTCCTCTTTCACGTGAACGTAACTTATGATTTTTATTTAGAATATAAACATCATAAATAAAGATCGAGAACTCGTCCTGCCATTTCTCAAGAACCATCTTTAGGTAACCACTCTACCTTCTTGATCTACCCCTCATTCTTTTCTTAAATATTTACTGCAATCTCTCTTTTCTCAAGTACTTGTCGACAACTCCAATTGAAAAATGATTTCGAAAAAACTGAAGATGCAGGAGAAGGAGGAGTCGTCGTCAAAGTAGAGAGGCACAATAGCATCCCCTAAAGGCATAACTAACATGTTCCATTCTATCTGCCATCTAAGTCATCCCATACGGGGTTGGTAGTCAAGGCCGTCGGATTCATAATATCACAGTCATCAAGCGTCAACTCAGAGAGCTTACCTAGAACTCGGTAAATACAAATATGCAAATACAAATTGTTAGCTTGAAGCCGATGTTGGCAAAAGCTAACTAGGATTTCAGAGGAGATTCCAAATCACATTTGATGAATATGAAGATAGCCTTCATTGCAACTATTCAATTTAATCTTGAGTATGGAACGTTACAAAAATAAAGTCAGCAGAACTTATACTTAAAGTTACCCTATTTATCCTACTTAATGATATACTTAATTTCAAATGATAATTCAAATAAGAAATCACAGCCTAACCCCGATCTAATTTAATTCAGATAAGTAATCGACCCAACTTGTAATGAACTATCACATTTGAAAATAGATGATAAGACTTTGAAACATTAATTAAGAGGAATGCAACATATAAGCAAACGGTGGTTAGTTGATTACATTGCATAATTAAGATTGTTACATAAATATAAGAAACCCCCATCCTTGGTGACAGTGTAAGGCACAATCTAATACATAACCCCACTTTACCTCCAAAAGGTTCCTTTCTACTTTCCCCCTCTACCAACAACATTCAATTAATAACCCAAAAAAAGCTACTTTTTATTTACCAATCCATTGGTGTCTGAAGAACCCTTCTTTTGTGGTGAATCCTCGTTGTCAATTTCTCTCACGGTAATAACAACGTGCCCATTTTCACCTTCATCTTCAGCTTCCACAAACGGCTTTATAGCTCCTCTGTGAAGCAATTGAGGCTTCTCCACCGCCACACTGCCTTCAACGCTCTTGAAATGGGCCTTTACGGACAGCTCACCCACTGCTTCACACAAATCCTCCACTGATTTAACGATCTCGATCAAAATGGAAGCCACCGTGGCGTCCGGAATTATTGCAAGAAGGTTTGAACACTCATCTGGGGTTTGTGTTGTGGCGGATTTAAGGCAGTTTTTCAGATCGTTGATGGCTGATTTGGCGGCGTTTAGATGCACTTGGGATGTGGGGGATGGATCACTCATTGTCTTCATTGCTGTGGCTAAGGCTTTGAGGGCTTTTCCTGATTCTGAGCTAAGGGTGTTGCATTGGACTTGGATGATTGTTCGAAATTGAGATAGGTTTGGTGGTTGGAAATTGAGGTGGGTATTGAGAACTTGGATGTGGTAGGCACACTGTCGAGCATAGGATCCAATTTTCAAGTAATGTTTCCATGGGTGACGAAAGCTAAAGTTGCCATGTTTTGGTTCCCATCTTGCAAAGTTTGCCTGTCAGACAATAAGGCACACAAAAATAAGGGTCTTTCTTCAATGATCAGCTGTACTCAACCCATAAGCTCTTACTGACAAAAAGTGAACCACCAATTCCTAAAATTAGTGCCTTTCATGCAGGCCTACAAGCTAGTGGGAACGAAAATTTAAAATGTAGAGTCAATTTCATTATCGTCCTCTTTAGATTTTTCCTTAACACTTTTAAAACATATATGTTGGGAAGAGATTTTTATAATCTTATAAAAAAATGTTTTGTTCTCCTCTTAACTAACGCGGGATCTCACAATCCACCTCGTTCCTTTCTCCGATCAATGTGGGACCCCCCAATACACTCGAATTGTGAGATCCCACATCAATTGGGGAGGAGAACGAAACATTTTTTTTATAAGGGTGTAGAAATTTCTCTCTAGCCGACTCGTTTTAAAAACCTTGAGGAGAAGTCCATAAAAAAAAGTTCAAAGAAAACAATATCAATTAGCAATGGAATTGTGTAGAAGAACCCACCATGGAATCTTCCATGCTTTTAGAATTAAGTACAGCTTTGTATCCTCGAAGGAATGATTTGTCTTTTTCAATGGAAGTAACTTGTTCTTCATCATCACAACAGTAAAAATATTCCCCACCAAATCCTGAAAAAATTCAACATTCTTTCCTTAGAACTCTCTTAGAACATTACGTCATTACAATTAATTTTTAGTGAAAAAGAACTCTAACCTTCAAGGTAATCCCCTAACTTGTCCAAATTTGAAGTGACCAAGTTGTGAAGCGTTTCACCAGCCCAAACAGGACATACAACAATGCAAATTATGATACAAATTGCTCCACCAGCAACAATGGTAGATAATCTCTGATACGCCATCATCAAGAACTCGTCAAATCGATACGCCGAAACCGAAACCATACTAAAAGTTAATATGAATATCAACACTCCATAATCATATCTTGCTTTGATTCCTGGGAAGAATCTTGAAAATGTAGCTGAAGCAGCTGCAACCAAAAAAACCAATCAAATTTTGGTTAAACCCTAATGAAATCCTAATCCAATAATTAAAATCATTAATGTTTTTAATTAAGAAAAAATTACCTATAAGAAAAACAAAGACGCCCAAAACAAAGGGCTCTCCTTTTTGACCAGAGAGATTAGCCAAATAGTCAACTCCCACTCCTAAACCACCAGCTAACAATGTTCCTAAACCTCTATTAAAACCTTTACTAAGAGTTGCACCTGAAAAAAGTCAAAATAATATTAAAATCAGTCAACAATGAAAAAAACATGTCCCAAAAAAACACAAATAATACTAATTATACTAACCCACAGTGAATTCAAAGATCACTACAACAGTGATGACAGCCCAAATCCCAGAGGCTCCAAATCCATCGTAGAGAGGCCTCCAATAGTAGAACAAGGACACCAAAGTCAAAGCCACTCCAACTTTAATGGAGTGAATGATTCTTCTTGGATCATCTTGTCCAAGCTTTTTTACTTTCATGGCTACCTCCATGGCTTTGTTCTTCAGAATCTCCATAGCCAAAACCTTACAACTTATAGAGAAAGAGAGAGAGAAATGAAAGATGTGGAATGGAGGGAAGATTGTTGGAGTATTTATAAGTGAAAAAGTTGAAAAAAAAAGGGTCAAGTTGATAAGAATATTGAGATTGGACATCATGTGTTGGTGTCTTTGGTAGGTCATATAGACAAAGATTTTGTGTTTGAAAACAAAATGAAAAAAAAAGACATTTTTGCTGACTCGATCGAATGTTTTTTTTGCTATGGATCTGAGCAATACTTATTTTATGATTGAAAAACAGGCAGCCCCATTTTCAAAGTAAAAGCTAATAAAGTAGGGAGTTGAATTCTGTCCATTTAGCCTCATCAACTGTTGGCCACTAAAAGCTCTCTCTTTTTCTCTTTGTTTTAAAGTTAAACCCTATTCGATTCCTCATACTAAAATATTATGTATGTGTTTGTCACTTTTTCAATTGCTATATTCATTTTTTATGAAGAGCACTACTCCATGGATATGCGTTTGGAGCTTAATGTATATTCTCATCACTCAATACTTTTCATATTTTATGCATCTAAATACACAAGATTAGGGTTCTTTGGTGCCCTTTTTAGTTCATGACCTAATTTCAAATCTTTCTCGAGAATAGACTTTTTTTTTTTTTTTTTTGTTCAATGATTAGAGGGTAGAAGTTTTAATTATTGAGTATGTGATTGAATAATTAACACACTTTCACTTGTATGATAGAATGATGGGGCTATTGTACAAGTAGAGATACGAGAGATCCACACTTTTTCTGTGAGTTGGTATGGATAGAATTGAGCCATAAGATGCATGCACCTCATAGTGTGTGAATAGACTACATAGATAGATGATGATTGGCGGGCATGACGAACGTTGTTTCCTTGATGAGGACAATGTTATGGGGCCTACTAGGGAGACACCAACTAATCCCTACTAGAGAGTATGTCTTATTGTAGTGTCTATAACGATATGATGAGGTTATGAGTTGGAATCATGACGAGGTCGTGCCTGCATAATGAGTTTCAAAAAACTAGTTCAGGAATGACAATGAATTTTTTATAAGAACCAAAGAACAATATGAACCTCAATAGGGTCAGATGATGTAGAACTATGAATTTAAACTTGATGAAACAATTATGACTCAAATAAGGTAAGAACATGAAAATCATAGAATAGAAGATTCTAGAACTTAAAGAATCCTGATTAAGTTATAACGTTACTTATTGAGTATCTAGTAACATGTATCCTCGGATAACCTAAAACTTGGAGTTAAAGATTGATTTACAAGTCCACCCGCTTATAAACATAGTCCACGAAACACATCTCCATGTGCTTCTAGATGTGCTTCAAATTATAATTAAGGGTAGGAAGAAGTGATAGGTGGTAGGAAAGGTGCATGCTAGAGCATTAGTTGAATTGCCAGGAAAGTGTGTGTGGCTATACAAGTTGAGCCTAACGCACACAATGTATAGACCACAAATTCTAGTGTTCATTGTGATACAGCTCTACAAATTCATCACTCTTTTAAACCCACCTGAGAAAGAGAGAGAGCTGTAATCCACCATTTCAGCCAGATTTCCCAAAATGAACTTGCATTAACTATGTGCTTAAAATGGGTCAATAAACAATAGTACTTTTTATCGTCATATTTTCACTCCGATATGATTTATCTACATGATCTTAACGAACGAGACTATGTAATAGGATCAAGAAGTTGTCCTTAGGATTTTCTTCGAGATATTTTTCGCTTTTTGAATCAAAAGAGAATATGATAAGATAATCTTTGTTCTTTGGTGGGATTCTTTTGTAGCAATTGGCACGATGGTTTACAATTGGAAAGTGGAAGTTGAAATGTATTGTGGAAAACAAGAGATGAAAAAGAATCTAAGGCGTGAGGCATAATCCTAAGAAACAAAACAATACTCCACTTTAGTATAAGGGTTAAATGAGATTGAAAAAGAACCTGTTAGATTCTAAATTAAAAAGGAAGTTGGGTGTTGGTTTGATGTAGCTAAATGTCTTGGCGCTAATCGCCAAACTTTCGATCCCAAATTCTTGGCTTAGGATCGTTACAAATATTATTAGAAGACGACTCTTCCTAATAGTTTAAAGATAAACCAAACAAAAGTTGAAGCAATGTCCCATGTTCAGGATTTAGAATTTGGCTTCGACACCTGATGATCTCGACATTCCCTTACAACATAAGCATGTTACCTATTTCTCAACAAACTAACATGAGTCGTTTTAGTAAAGTCATTGCTTCAAGATAAACACGCTTAACTATGAAATTCTCGTTACATATCTTGAAAAAAGCATGAGTTTGACATATTGCTTGTCCAAAGTACATTAACAATAAAAAAAATCAATATACAAAACTCCAAAAGGCAACCCATTCAAACCCTAAAAATGAAACTTTAAAAAAAAAAATTATGGATTATGGAAGTCAAATACTTAAACTAATATTGGAAGATCATCATCTCTACACTTAAAGTCACCAGAAATTGTCACCACTAATTCCTGTTGAAAGCATGCACTATCAGCATTGAGAAAGAGAGAGATATAGATAGGCTTCAAATTTGGAGCATATTAAATATAGAAATGATTTAAAAACTCAGTTATGTTTATGATTAATTAGCACTAAACTATGGATTTACATGGTTGATTATTATTAACCATATATATTAACCAATCTGATCCAACATTTTGATTCATGGAATAATAAGCCTTGTCATGAAGCACTAATGAGTAGGATCTGACTCAATGTTCATACAGTGACTTTCCCCCATTTTACTTTTCCTTTACAAAAACCCAAATCAAAATTGGAAACAAATTATGATATATAGAAGTTGGTTGGAAGTATGAGAATGAGTACAACTTTGTACATTGAACCCCAAGATGGATATTAACTTTAGATGGGATTGATACCCAATTTTGTAGGTTGGCATGCAAGTGGCTGGAGAGAAGTGGGTGAAACACAGCTAGCTAGGTAGCCGAACAAAGTAGATAGTGCTTCTAAGTGATCATCTCTCTAGCTATGTTAGTGTTTTCATTTTTTGATACAATGCTCTAATTCTAAGCTTATCCACTGTGCTTTGAACTCCTCTGATTATGCAAACACTCCGTGGAAATCATTCAATCCCTCAATGAGCTCGTTCTACCTATTTGATGTGAGATCTCCCGTCAGTTGGAAAGGAAAACAAAACACTCTTTATAAGAGTGTAAAAACTTCTTTCTAGTAGATGCATTTTAAAATTGTAAGACTCACGATAATATGTAACAAGCTAAAGCGGGCAATATCTGCTAATGGTATCATAGCCAGACATTAAGTGGTATGTTAATGAGGACGCTGGGACTCCAAGTAAGTGAATTATGAGATCCCACAAAACATTTTTTTTATAAGAGTGATCTTTCCCTAATAAACACGTTTTAAAACCATGAGGCAGAGAGGAAATATAGAATTTTAAACTTGATCAAAAAATCATCTTTATCAAAGTACAACCGTCCTCGCCTAAAACAAATACGAATTACAAATATGAAAATTCATGACAATCTTTTATCGTCGAAAAACATGTATTAAGAATCAATTAATTAAATGAAATTTCACAAAAACGTAGAGTTATCAAATGATTATATGGTATGATTTAGTTGGCTTATTACACGAATTAAAGACTTTATATAAATAGAAAAAATCTACAAATGGTTGGTAGTCCTTTAGTACGAAACACCTAAAAAAAAACAAATTTGGTCATAACTCCTTTTATTTTTAGTTTCTAAATTTGTGTTACCCACAAAATTAATTATGTTTCATAGTGGGTTCTTTTAGTGGAAGACATGTTTTTTTTTTTTTTCTTTTTAAACATGTTTTTTTTTTTTCTCCACTTTGCATGATCTCCCATTGATTAATAGGATAGCCACTAGTTTGCATTTTTGTTTGAAATATAATTTTTTTATATGAATATTATATTAAAGGGGGAAAAAGGAATACTAAATTAAAAAAGAATACATATTTATATAAAGAATTGAGTGAATGAGATTTGGTCACCATTCTTTTAAAAGAAAATTAATGTAATAAATAGAAAATGCATTATAAATAAGTGATAAGTACACCATGGAGATATGAATGGNAAAAATTCCAAAAAAAAAAAAAAAAAAAAAAAAAAAAAAAGGAAATAAAGTGATAACTACACTCTACTCTTATAACTTTTACTTTTATCAAATGCTTTAATTCCATATTTCCAAATGTGCCTTCCATGTGTCACATTAAACCCTAAACCCTAAGTATATTATCATATATATATATATATAATATGATTTATTAAAATCCTCATTTAAACTATATTTTAAAATTTTCATGTGTCACAAACTAAGTTTGTTCTTATTGATTAATATAAGAATATTTTGAGTCGAGATGGTATGATATTTCAAAACTCTAATTTTAGTCCATACCATATATTATATATGATAATTTTATGAAATTATAAAGATGAAATCCTAAAGGAATTAAATTGGTTATTTAATAAAAATAAAAATAGTGGATAAAGATATGAAGATGCAATTATCCATTGGGCCGCGGAAGTAGAAGCCATCCTAAAAAGTAGTTGAGCCTTACCCAATCTAGCTCCACTCTGTTAAATGTGGCCCAATATCAAATCCAAGTCTATACACTTTTTATTTTATTTTATTTTTTCATATTTTTGCCCTTCCCATATTTTAAATCATAATAATAATAACCCTCCCATTTGAATGCGTGACATTTAAATATCTATTAGAAGTGAGTTTGAGTTTGGACTGCTACACTTTATAACAGTAATCCATCTCGATTTTGATCCTGTACATAGAAATGAAACCCGAAACCCAAAACCCAATACAAACCCACCTTTTTTGTATTGAAATTTTGTAAGTTTGTGGATGGAGATGCCTTTCCTTTTTGTTGGTAATCATTTAGGCAACCCTAATTGAAACATTTATAATCTAGTTTGGTAATGATTTGGCGTTTGGAGTTACCCCACCATATTTATTTGAAACATATAATTAAACATTT